AAACCAACAAACTAACAAACCAACAAACAAACCAACAAACAAACCAACAAACTAACTAACTAACAAACTAATAAACAAACAAACTAACAAACCAACCAACAAACCAACAAACTAATAAACTAACAAACTAACAAACTAACCATCTTATGAACAGGAGTGACAACATGATAAATAATAACATAATAAAACAAACGGTCCAGCTCACCGCTCAGGTTCTGCTCAGAGAGACTCTGATGATCTTTGAGGACGTGGTTGACGCTTGAGTTCAGGTTCTTCATCCGACTCTGGACGTCGTCCTGATTCTTCTGAATAACGTCCAGGATTCCTCCATGATGCAGGACGGTGTCGTTCAGACCGGAGACACATGTCCACAAACTAGACACGTGTCGATTCAGTCCTGAACACGGAATAATTAAAACATGCCGATGTGGAACACGTTGAATCAATCAGTCAGTCAGATTATATAATATTTTATTATATAAGTACAGCCCATATTCACAAATCACAGTTTGTCTCACAGATTTTAACAAAGAGCAACATCCTCTGTTCTTATGAACGTTTGAACGTGTGAAGAATAAAAAGCTCCATCAGGAGAAACTGTACCTTCCTTGATCTTGTGGATTGAGTCCGAGACGCCGTCCAGTCGCCCACAGACGCCTTCCAGCTTCGACAGCCTCTTCTCCAGCCCGTCTCCAGACCTCTTACAGTCGCCCATCTCCACCAGCAGCGTGCTCTCAAACCGCCGCACGTCACGATCCAACCCGTCCAAACGGTCCCGGCTCTCCTCCATGTGCTCCGTCACCTCCAGCTGGATTTTGTCCAGCTCGGAGATGATTTTATCTTTGGTGTTTCCTGGTGGGAGGCAGAGGATGAATGAGGGACCGTCAGCTGGGGAAGGTGCAGTTACGACGACATCGAGTTGGACTCACCGAGGTCAGTGATGACGCTGCCGTGTTTCTGCATCGTGTGTTCGATTCCCTTCAGGGTGTCGTTGATGGAGCTGAAAGTGAGGACGACCTCGGACAGTTCTCCCTGCAGCGTCTTCAGCTGGTTGTTGTTGATGGAGCCTCCAATCACACTGTGGCCGTCTAGTGGCTTCGCAGAATCCAGCCCAGTTCCACCTTCACTGGGACCAGATCCACCAGAACCACCAGAACTGCCAGATCCACCAGAACCACCAGATCCACCAGAACTGCCAGATCCACCAGAACCACCAGATCCACCAGAACTGCCAGATCCACCAGAACCACCAGATCCACCAGAACCACCAGAACCACCAGATCCTCCAGCTCCACCAGATTCTCCAGATCCTCCACCTGTTGAATGTTTCAGTCTAAACTCAGTGACGTGACATCACAACATTTGTCAGCTGCCCTGTGTTACGGTGATGTGGGCGTGTCAGAGCTGCTCTTACATCGGCTGCTACACCTCCTGACGTCATCTCGCAGCAGGCGGATATCGTCCTGCAGGTGTGAGCACATCTGGGAGCAGCCATCTTTCTCTGATTCCACTCTGACCTGGAGTCTGTTGATGTGGCTCTGCATGCGCCAAAGTGCATCCTGGGAGTGATTCTTCAGCCTCCGCAGCTCCTCCTCCACCTTCCTGCAGAGGTCACAGTCGTGTCCCAGCGTCTCCACCTCCGTCACAATTCTGTTGAAGTGTTCTCCGTGATCGCCCGTCAGAGCCTTGATCTTACGAACGTCGTGACTCAAGTCCACAACCTGGAAATCACTTTACATGTTAATATATTTTCTACTTTGTTTATACATATAAC